GTCCTCCCACAGTGACAACAGCGCCCAAACACGTCTTTCAGCTTCTCACGAACCAGTCTTAGGCTCAGGCTCTAAAGAAAACCTCCATCACAGTCTTCAGACGATTCCCTGTACTTCGGTTTCTTTTTCCACTGGACCTCTTGATTCTGGTTGCTTGCCATCGCCTTTTACTCTTTCGTCCGCAAACAATCAGCTAGTCGATTATGTACAACCACTATTTCCCATCTGCATTTCAGATCCTCACCAAATGTATCTCACTTAACTCATATTTTTAAGCCGCTGATGTCTATACAGAGGCATCTGCACAATCAAACATCACCTCTCCTTTATCCCACCAATTATCTGATGACGCCTTTCAGCCATTTGAGTCATCAGATAGTCATGTCTCTTTTCACTCTTCAACTCGCCAGGATGGTTGTGCTTTATCCTCATCCTCCTTGACAGGTATTCCTGCTGAAAAAGATCATCTTCATTTAGTCTCATGCTCTAATTACAATCGAGTATCTCAGAATTCTCAGGATCTTTCTCAGAAAAGTTGCAACAGCTTTACAACTGAGCAATCTAGTTATCTGTCATCCCAAAAAACGTGCATCGATTCTTTTCCCAAGAGTAGATCCAGTTTACTCGTTGGCAAATCAACTAAGGCTTTATGCAACTTAGAAGAATTGCAAACCTTTCCTCCTTCACGGGCTAATTCTGATTTTCGCACTGACTTAGTGTTTAATAGGAAAAATTTTGCAACCTCGCTTAGGTTCTATTCTCAAGCGCCGACTTCATCTACTATGTTCTCCTGGCGCCTCAGACGCCCTTTCACATCTGTTCCTTCCTTATTTCATCTCCGTCTGTTCTCTGCCAAGTCTTTTCGTCGACGTACTCAGCATAATCAGCATTGGTGGAAGCATAGCATACGCAAGGCAGATGTAGGTTGTCAAGCAGATATGGTTACAATGCCCAAGGAGCATGTGCATTCAATCGGAACCTTCGATTGTCGAAGTGCTCCTGATCACAATTTGAATTGCCGCCTGGCGGCTATCACATCTTGTTCGATTCCTAACTTTGATCATCATACGTCTTGTCAAGAGTCGCCTCCCGTTGTAACTGCAGCTACGGCTAGGGGATTAACTGAAAACGAATGTGGAAGAGGCTGACAAGGAAAACCTAATCCCGCATGCCATTATATTAAAGGATAGTCCTGTTGAAGATATGCTTGCCTAAGATTGCGTGGCATTTATGATTAGTTAAGCGCGCGGGATTTCTTCAATACATCTTAAACTACTGAGGGTTCCACCATTATCATATTCACTAATGCCACTAAGAGAGGCATTAATATCCTCATGTTGTTAATGAAAATTTCTTCTATTATCTATTTCCCCTTGTACATTATGGTTCAAGATTTTCACATATATTTTGAAATTATTTTTCGAGTCCGTATGGATATTTCCTTCGTTGGTTACTGTCGCTATTTTTTAATGTTAATTTAGTACTATTGCAAATTCTTTTCACTATAATTTTAAAGGCTTTTATCAGTATTGTCTCCTTCCTATTTTGTTCTTTGTATTTATATCCAGCTGTAGTTTCGGATCCTCATGATCAGTGCATCTACAAGCCTGAGGAACATTCTCAACCAAACAGTTCTCACAATACACTTGATATTCTGCAAACTTCTTCTAACTCTTTATCTCCTCAACCCATAAAACCCTGGTGTCGGTCCGTTGCTTTGAGTGCTCGGTGCGGAGTTATTTTGACACAAGAAAGACTGACTCGTCTTGAGCGATATCAGCGGTCATTTGAATGCATCCTCAAAGAATTGGTAAGTCTAGCTTTTATGTCTTTTGCCTCACTTTCATACTAAATAACTCATTTGCAGCTATACTAATCGAAACTTTCATTTATTTATGTTTCAAAGCAATCTTTGCGTTTTTGTTTTTTTTAATTTTGGTAATTGCTTAGTTTTATATGTTTTGCTGAAAATCCAAGTGTATTTGAATTTGGCAGTTTATTTGAAGCATAAAATGGTTTGCTCTGTTGTTATAGTTATCTGCAATATATACTGTAAGGGTAATTTCCAGTGAAAAAGGGTAGTTTTAGGAGATAGCTCATTAAAGTCAATTATTAAGCACATTTACTATAAGCGATGGTGATATCGAAACTGGTTAGCTAATGCTAAAATGGCACTACATTTAGAGTTTATATTTCAGTATGAAAGGAGCAATCTTAATCTCTCTTACTTTAGTATTGAGCTTCCGTTTTCACTCTCTTAAAGTGTTCTTTGACACTTAAAGACCACACATTAATTTTTATTAGTTGGTTACTGGTCGAGTTTCTATGTATCTTACTTTAATTTGATGTTCGTTCCTCACTTGAGTTCCTATAACCCGTCAGAACATAATTAGTCTCACTAACCCAATACATAGATTTACTCATTTTGAATATTTTTTTATTTTTGATAGGCAACATTTATATAATCTCCAAATAGGATCTTACTCTTCTTTTCTATATTTGCATTTTAATTATCAAATGTTGTAGTAAATTCGCAAACTAATTACAACTTTACTATATCTTCTGCAGTTGATCTCATTGTTCTTAAGAGATTCCGACAAGACAGAACTGGATTTCATGGAATTACTTAGCGATCTATCCTTCCTTTTTGAAGGAAAAGTTGGTTGGAAGGAATTTCTAAAATAGCATAATTGAAAACCGAAGAAGTGGCGGTAAGTGAAAATGCTTTGATTGTTCGAAGAAGTCTTCGACTCATTGTCCTGCGACCCCGATGAACCGCTGCTAGGCTTTCGTCTGTATTCTGATAGACATAATCAGAGCAAGAATCCATCCTTTACGAAATAGAGCAAAAATTTACTAGACCAAGAGGAAAGGTGTCCTGATGCAACCCTACTTGCTCCTTTGATACACAAAAACTTGCTAGCTTAATGAGGCATTCTATGATTTCGTTGAATACCTCAAACTTACTATACATGTCTGCAGGTAAGTAAGTTACTTCACGAACCGGAATGCATTCAGTGGCAGCTGTTTCCTTACACATAATTTACATACGTTCATCTAATATCGACTGGTGCCTAGCTATGTGATTTTGCCTATTATGTGTATAGTCTTAACTAGACTCGGGTTTTCTTATTCATTTCTTACCTAATCATACAGTTAGAGTTAAAATATGAGTTATGAAATCATTGATAATAAGGAGTCTACATCTAGCATACATTAATCACAGTGACCAAAAGTTCAGCAGATTGAGTCACAAAATTACCCACTAGGATAAATAGATAATTACATTTTAACACTGTAACATAATGAAGGAAAGATATGAAGACCAAGGTGTTGTGGCCTCTGGTATGGTCGTTATAATGAAGAAAGTTTGCTATTATTGGAGGGATAGACAATTGGACAATTCTACTCGGTTCCAGATCTTGCCTTCCTGACAGCTTGCAAAAAATTTAGGTGACAATCTGAGGAAATAGATCAGAACACTATAAAGAAAAATTAACTACTTCAGTCGTATCTTTTTTTCGAGAATTTTTGCACTTTCTAAATCAGGCTGCTGCAAGGTTTTGTGCTCTTCTGTTAATGTCTATGTAATGAAGATGTGTTGACGCATCCCAGAAGAGATTATGTGAAAGCAAAACTCCCTGTAAAGTTCTGTAGGTCCAAATTTGACCTT